TTCTTTTTTAAAAAGAAAATTAAAAAAAAAAAATAAAAGGGCATTGTAAGTAAGGGGAAAAACAGGCAAAACAGCAGAAGGCAGTATGGGAGATCTTTCTGTGTGCCCACATTTCACGTGCTTTGATGATGAACCGTCATTAATGCTCAAGGAGTCTGGGTTGAGTAAAGAGGCCAAATGCCAGAACTAGCGGTATGAATCCCACCAAGCGAGGCCCACTTTTAAAAGGCTCACTGTCTTTCAGGTTCCTCGCGCTCTGCTGCCCCAGCTCTCCATGCACCCTTTGGCCATGTTAACCGCGTCCAAAGCAGTAGAATATGCCCGCAAGCAGAGTAAGCTTGTTTACTTCCAACTGCCTAGAGAAACGTAAGCAAAATTATGGGATGGGCCACAAGGCAATGTTCATATTGTAATGATGATTAGATTTCTGTCCAGAGAAATAAAAAAGAAACTAGAAGTTTTTATGACCTGATTTCCCACTCTCCTATTGCATACCAAGACTATAGTTTTATTTCACAGATCCTTTGCTAAAGGGAGCAAAGCAGTCTAGAAGGGAAAAATCTAAAACTGTGGGAAAGTACATTCTTTTTTTAACTTTTATAATCAGATATGGTTTGCACCTGTCTGTAGGTGTCACGCTAAGAAAGGGAACAACTCATAAAAAAGCCAGGAGCAGTTCTACAAAGGAAGCAAATGCCACAGAATGGAAATCATCAAAAAGATTTTCGTACACACTGCTGAAGAACAAAGTGAGTCTGAAAACCCAAATTGGACCAACATCTAGCAGGTATTTTGAGAGAACTGGATTTATCTTGTGAGTGGAATTCAAGCCCCCAGGCCCAGCATAGTGGTGAACCCTGTAATCCCAGCCCTTGGGAGGCTGAGGTAGGAGGATTACTGCACATTCACGGCTAATCTTGTGCTACAAAGCAAGACTCTGACTGAAAAAAACAAAAACAAACACACAAAATAGGAAGGGTAACCGTACCTACAGTTGTTGCAATGATTGGCTGAGATAAAGGTTAAGTGTTTGGAGCAGTGTTGGGGACTAGGTAAACCTTAAATAAAGATTAGCTATGATTATCTCTTTAGCATTTGAAAAGTACTATTCAGAAGTTTATTGGCTGTTACTCTGTTGATTCAAGTAAGTATAATGAGGAGATTTGTATTAATATCCACATCTCAGATGTTCCTATTCTTGGCCCCTCTCTAACTAGTGACAATCTTTATCATTTTCTGCTTGGCATCTCCCTTGCTCCTGACTTGTCCTCCTGGTTCCCAAGTTTTACACTGCAGGGTTCAGATGGTTCCAGATGCACAGGGCTGGAGGGAAAGTAGAA